AAACTCCTAAAACTACTAACTTCAATTGCTTGAAGTATAGTATAAGTTCTATCATATATTCATTTATTCTTTTGACTGCACCTACATGTTTTTTTATTATTCATTAATTATAATTCCTATACCTGATCCCTTTTTTTTGTTTTTTGCTGCACTTGACCAAAATCCTACATATTTCCTGTTTGTTGTCTGCATTAGAAAACTTTACTCTCTTTCTGTAAGGTTTGTTTCTGTAATATCTAGTATTGTGACTTCTTCTTCTTCTGCCCAGCCCAGCAGATTATCAAGTTTCCATCCTTTGGTTTTGAGTCTATTAATATTATGACATGCTATTTTAATCTTCTTTCTTCCTTCTTTTTATTTTTCTTTTAGTTGTTCTTGTCTTGTTTTTGCTGTTTCTTCTCTTTCTTTTCCTTTTCTGTTTTTACTTCTTTTTTCTTTTGAATAAAGATGTGTTTTCCCTCTTTTGTTTTCAAAACTTCTTCTTTCATCTTGTAAGAACTCTCTTATCTCCTCATCCATATTCATTAGTTCAACTAAGATGTCTTTAGGAGTGGTTGGCTATGCTTTCCCCTATTGAGTTATTTACTTTCTTTAGTTTTTCTAGTTTTTCTAAAATTCAGCCTAGCATATCTTCTATATGTGTGTTCTTTTCTTGCTGTTGTATCTTATCTTTATTTTTCCTCTTCTCTTGACTTTCTTCTTTTCTATTATCTATATTTCTATATCTGCTTTGGTTTTTAATATTCTGTTCTAGGCTGCTATTCTCTTCTTCTATCATTTGAACTTTTGGTTTTAGGTCTTTTCAATCTTTCTTTCTATTTGTATATATTCTGTTCCAATAACTTTTTTCTTTACTTTTGTTTTCTTCTGCATCATAGTTCTGGCTTAAGCTATTCCAACTTCTTTTTCTTCTATTCTTGAAGCTTTCTCTACCTTTTGGCTCTCTTCTCCTTTCATTAATCCAATATACTTGAAAATTGTTGTACATAATTGGTTTTGACTGTGCTGGCCTTATATCTTCCTCTGTTGCAAAGATAATCAGTGCTATTCACTTCTGGTTTCTGTTTCAGTTTAGTAGAATATATACTGACTTCGCTCTTTTGCTTCTTAAGCATTGCAATAATAAGACTTTTGAAGCATTCTCAGGTAGCTCTGTTAGTTTGGCTATATATTTCCTTTGTCTTTTCCTTGCTTCATGGTCTTCTCTTTCTCTTGTTACTCTTACTAGCTTATTATTGTTGGCTGGCAGTGATCATAGAATATCTTCTTCTTTTATGCTTTGCATTTGTATTATTGCTAAGGCTTTGTACTTAAACCTTTTAATGTATATAATTTGCATGTCTCTAATTCTTCTGCAAATATACTTTATTTCTTTTTTGTTTATGTTAACTGGTAGGTTCCATATTGTTAAGTAAGTCACTTTGCTACTGAGTCTTTCTTCTTTCTCGTATTCACCCTTGCATAGTTCTTCTCTATTAATGCTTTCTTTAACCTTCTTTTTTCTAAAACTTGGTATATGTTTTTCTTTATCTTGTTGTTCTTTCTTGTAGTTTTTTTTCTCCTCTCTTTCTTTTCTTTATCTTCTGGTATCATTTTGTACCAATCATTTTCTTTTCTATTAATTCTTTGTATAACTTTATCTCTGTTATAATTACAGTTAAAGACTACTTCTATCTACAGATTTCTTCTCTTGAATACTTCGTCAATGTCTTTTACATATGTATTATCCTTTAGAGACCATCTAATAAACTTTATATATTCTTCTTTTGTTTCTCCAAAGACCTCATATGCTGGTATGTTGGCAATTAGACTATTGTTATAATTACAATTTTTTTGCTTGGTGCCTATATACTTTGTTCTAATGTTATTCCTACAATGTCAATTTCTTTCTCTGTTTCTTGCTTCCTTCTTTTCTGTCTTTTTCTTTTCTCTTCTAGTATGTTTTGTTTTGATTGCTTACCATATATTTCTATATCTTCTTGTTTGCTTATATCTCTCTGCTTCTTTATTTCTTGTTTCTGAATACTGGATTCACCTGTCAGTTTGTTATTTCTTTCTATGCTTACCTCTCTCCATTCTTCTCTTTGTAATATATTTGTTTTTTTTTGTTTTTCTATATTTCCACTTTCTTCTTTTATATTTCTTTTCACTTCTTGCTTTTTTTTAATATTTTCTTCTTCATTTTCTTTTGTTATCATTTGCTATTCTTTGTTTTGGTTATACTGTATTTGTTCTCTTTCTGCTTCTGTTGTCAGGTCTTAGTTTCTTATATTTATATTTAGTTTTTTTTTTGGATGTTTTTTCTTAGCTTTCTCTAAAATTTCTCTTATTAGTCATAAAAGTGCCACCTCATTTGGGTCTTGATTTGTAAGTAATACAACAATTTTGGCTTCTCTATCTGGTACTGTATATGTTTTGCTTACCTTATTGAAAAAAATTTTGTTATGTACACTATTTATAGCCCAGTATGCTCTTTTTATAAAGAGTGCTTGTAAACTTTCTTTATACTCTACAGGAAGATTTTTGTTCATATTTATGACTCTATTTTTTTAGAATGTTCTGTCACATATTTGTTATATTTGTTTGTTTGTTTTACAAGTGGCTTGTTTATCTTATTCTATTCTAAAATCTTGCATGTGTTTGTTTTGTTTAGACTGTACATGTTGTTTGTGTAATCCAAACAGATCTATGTATAGGGTTATTAGCAATTCTCTAAGATTTTTTCTTTTTGTTAAAATTTCTATAAAAAACTTTAGTTTTCTTCTATAACTATCTTATCAACACTTGCAATGCTTTTTGTTTCTATACTTATTTGTTATTTTCTTTGTTGATATTATTTTTTCTTAGTATTGTTGAGAGTGTTATCTATTGCTGTTAGTACAAAAAGTTAATTTCTTTTTCTACCGATTTTGTATCCAAGTAATCGTTAGGAAGAGTGATAAACTTTTTGTTTTTGATTAGATCTTATTAATATTGGGAGTTCAGAGTATTTATATAAAGTGTAATGTTATATATACATAAAAGAATATATAACTGGTATTGTATAAGTCTTCATTGCAGAGATGTAATGATTTAGTGAAGTAGTCAGATTGTCAACTTCCAAATGGCAAGTCTAGAGTTCAAATATCAGTATTGATAGAAAATTTAAAAATCCTCTCTGTATTATAATTAACTGTCTTTTACAATTGGTTGAAATAAAATATCTGTTATCTGTATCACATTAGTATAACTGGCAGGTCATATGGCATTTATATAATAGTTACATGATATTGTTCTTTAGGACAAGATCTGTAATTATACAAAGAAATACAAATTGGTACCAGGTAATACAAACCTACAATAAGTTCTTGTGATCATGTAAATCATAAGAATCAAAAGAAGAAAAATGAAAACCTACTTAGAAGACCCAAGTATAAAGATAACCCAAACTTTTAATAATGTTATTGTAAAAACTAGACTTAAAAATAAAGTTAGAATTTGTAAAACTAAGCAAATGTGCTAATCTTTGAAAAGAAACTGAATAAACTAATCAGACCATTAGATTTCTGGATTTTAGAGAAAAAAGATACATGTTAACTAATATATAAACCAAAAATGTATGGTTTTGATTTATCTTTTCAGGCTATTTGAAATGAAAGTTTGATAAAACTTGAATTAAATACCAAAGTAATAAGAATATATTGTAAAATTAGTACCAGGATTGAGATGAACTCTACAAGAGCATAGCAGTTTAATGGTATATCCTAATTGTCAGTATTGATCTAGATCATAGTTGTAAAAATGAAATATAAAAGATTCTAGAAAGTTTAATACAAGGTCAAAGGTTCTAAATAACTGCTTTAAAGACTTAATAATTATGACATATTTTTATTAGCATTAATCAGGTTATTGGTAGGCAGAGGTAAATAGGTAGATATAGAAACTAAAATGTTAAATAGGGAACTTACAAGCAGATTTCAGGTATAGCAGCTTGTATAGAACCTTTGGACAGACTACTTAAATTAAACAATGACTAAAGTTGTATGAGTGGCTAGTTGTACACTCTTTCTATGATTGCCTTTTGTGATTGTAATGCAACCATTAGTCAAATATACTATTAATAAAATCCTAGGTTACAAGTACTTGCGTATACTTATTTCTGCAAGTGATACAAACCCAAAAAGGAAATTTTTATATGTAGATCGCAAAATCAGGTACAATCGTCGTGTAACGTGAGATCGAAGGATTTTTAAAACATCGCCGGTAACTCAAAAGTTTGCCTAGAAAATCACATTTTACGTTCTAATAAAAAAATTCCTGGCCAGATTTTGCTATATGACCTTTCTAATACCAACCCTTAACCCTAGCCCTAACGCTAGTCAAATCTCATGTACTTTTATCGAAATGACAATCATTTCCTTTTTGGGCTTGTATCACTTGCAGAAATAAGTAAATCCCCGTTATTATATTCATATGGCGAAAGCAGACTTGGTAGATTAATTTCTTATTAGATATGACAGGTTATCAACTTTGACAGGATCAGTTTTAAGAATTCAAAAGTATTTGAAATATGCTATTCAAATTGATATAAATATTCTGTTGAATAGGATAGGCAACACTTCAAACCACTAATGATTATATTTCGGATAATATCAGGAATATCAGAAGTATCGGATTTATTGGATTTATTTGAAATATTCGCATTTCGTAACACATGCCCACAAACTCGTGACATAATATAAAGCTCTAAGTTGATGTGGTTTTGGGTTTTCCATAGTGTTATAAGTCGATTAGGGGCTAGTCGACTAAGTTGACTTAGCCGATCCCTAATCAGCTTAGTCGACTTAGCCGACTCAGTTATAATATTATTCGCCTAGTTTAGTTATTGTCTTGTTTATAATTTTTGTTGGATAATTTACTTATTGTTGTAAAAAAAACGTCTTGAATAGTCGTTTGTAAACTTTAAAAATCTTGAATAAAGTCTTTTAATAAAGATAATTTGAAAGTTGTAAATTTTAAGCATGAATAATCTTTTGGAAAATCGAATTGAAGTTGAAAATGATCAATCATCAAGACCTACTACGCCTCATATGCAAGTTATTCCAGCTAACCAGAGTGTCGAAAGTTGGGTTTGGTTATTTGTTAATAAACAAACTCGATATTGTCAAGTTATAATTGAAGATAAGGGTGTTAGACGTCAATGTGAATGGTCTTGTCAGAAAAAAACAAGCACAACTAATATTGCTAGTCATTTAAGAGTCAAACATCGAATAATTGAAGGAAAAGAAGAAGCTGAAGTAATAAACTCAGAAACACATAATAGAAATTTTCCACTTGAACAAAGTAAAATTAATAGAATTACATATCATTTAATAGACTGGTTAATAGATGACATGCAGGCTTTTCATGTAGTAGAAAATCGCAAATTTCGAAATTTTGTTTATGAACTTGAATCATTTTATTCTATTCCTTGTAAGAATTCCTTATATAAAAAAATGAGTGAAGCCATTAGTATAGTTGAACAAAATTTGAATGAATCAATGAACAGTTCGATGGAATCTTTTTTTTTTACAACCGATTTGTGGACTCAGAATCATACACCTTATATTGGAATTACAATTCATTGGATAACACCTAATTTCGAACTTAAACAGGCATTACTTACAATTGAAAATTTTATATATCCTCATACAGGTGATCATATCGAGGATTGTTTACGCAAAGAATTTCAAAAATGGAATATTACTGAAAAACTTTTTGGTGGTGTGACTGATAATGATTCCGCAATGCTTAAAGCAATGCGTCAATTAGAAACTAATCATATTCGTTGCGTTGCACATACAATGCAACTCGCAATTAAAGATGGATTAAAACATATAAAAAATTTAATTGATTCAGCAAAAAAATTAAATAACTTTATAGTTAATCATGACAAATATCGTCCATTACTAAAATCAATTTTTCGTGAAATTAATGCTAAAGGCAAGTAATTTATTATATTTAAATTAAATAAATAAAAATAATAATAATATACATATATTTATATTTTTATAATAGAAACAGATACACATGAAATTAATGTTCTAGATCCAATTGCATCTGATACAGAAACACGATGGAATAGTACTTTCTTTTTATTAGAAAGACTTATTTATTTTCGTAATACACTTTCTATATTAGGTAATAAGCTTGCTTTAGATCCTGATAGAACTACGCGAAATGATGGTGATAATTTAAAAAAATTATTGCTTAATTCGGATAATTGGACATCATTAGAAGAATTAATTTTATTACTTCGACCTTTTGTGAATGCAACAAATCTTACATCGGGCAGTTTGTATCCTACTCTTTCACTATGGTATCCTACTTTATATTGCTTACAGGATTATTTAGAAAATATTGTACATACTATTACAAGTCCTCAAATTATAATAGTATGTAACGAAATTTTAGCTTCATTATATAAGCGTTGGGAGATTCCTGATGAATTAGGTTGTATTGCAAGCTTATTAGATCCTAGATTTAAATTTTTAAAATTTTTATCACCAATTCAAATAGAAAATACAAAACAAAATTTAAAAAACCATATTGAATTATTAGAAACACCTAACACACTACCAACTACTAATTTTTCAGATAATACATCTATGTTTTTAAATTTTTTTAATAATAATTTATCTTCACAACCTCCTACATCCCAAATTGATATAGAAATATCCCTTTATTTACAACTTCCAGCTCTTTCCGTATTACCCTTAAATCATCCACATTATCACCTTCATGATCCCTTACAATGGTGGCAAGAAAAAAGAACAACATTTCCTTTATTATATAGACAGGCTCGTAGGTTTTTAGCTATCCCAGCTACATCGGTTCTATCTGAAAGACTCTTTTCAGATGCAGGTAATGTAATTACTGACAAACGAAATCGTCTAAATCCTGATACTATTCACGATCTATTATTTTTAAAAGAAAATGATCATTTAGTTTCATTTTATGAAGACTAAATTCACAATAAAGTTATTATTATAATACTTATCCATTATAGGCTTATATAGAGTTTATATATAAACACTCGCATGATTTCTTTACCTCATATTTTAATAACCACTAAAACATTACCACTATGAGGTGAAATTAATGTAAAATGACAAATAAATCTCCACATAATTAGCAATATATATGAATTCAAATGCAGACTCGTTATAGAACTTTAAAATACTTTGTTACTTAGAAATTATGAATGTAACGAACGAAGAAACCATGGTTTTTTACTCAAATGCAATACGTAATAAATTACCAATCAAATGGATCGAATAGCATGCCCCTGAATTTACCCCTTAACGACTTAGCCGGCTAAGTCGACGACTTAGCCTATGACTTGGCTGGTTGGCTGTTAGTCGATCGGCTAATAACACTAGTTTTCCAACACGACGTACGTACCTAGTATATTTAACAATTATGGATAAGATTGAATTGGATTTGCATTTGAAGCAATTGATTTAAAACGATCGCCTTTTAGAATTGTCCTTTTTGTCCTAATAAAAAATTCCTTGTGAAATTTTGGATAGAGGATCTTCAATTATTACTTTAACCAATTCTGTAGCCTCATTTCCCGACGGTCATTTCTCCGACAGGCAATTTACCCGATATTTCGGGGTGACATTTTAGCATTTTGTTAATTGCAGGTATATATTGTTGACATAACCACATAATTCTATAATGATAATTTACACAATTTATCATAATTTCTCATAGATAACTCCATAAAGCAGACATAATTTATGATCTGTCGCCATTAGATTTGCATTAGTCAATCTGTCTATGAGATCAGACCTCTGGTTGTCAAGATATTTTACTTAAACTTATATTTCTTAAAAATCAGCTGACTTAGTCGACACAAAGGCGCAGATTTAAACTAAAATTAGCCAATCACACATTGCACTTAGATTCTATAACGACAAGGTGCAAAGCTTATTGGAAATTAACGTTAAGCGATTTGAAATTCAGAATTCGTGGACGTACGTGCCAGAATATCTTTAGCAAAATTTAAGTCAATTTTAGTATATAACAACAGCATGAATCAAAGTCCAACGATATACGTGCCAATAAAAAGGACTGACGAGGTCGACTGGGCAAATCCTTTGAAACGTTATATTCAGACAACGTATCAAGAGGATCCAGAGAAATATGTTGAGGAAGCTAATACTATCCATCGTCTTAGACAAGACATGAGAGGTGCTGGAAAAGATTTAACTGGCAGGGATTTAATGTATCGTTATTATGGACAATTAGAATTACTTGAATTGAGATTTCCTGTCGACGAGAACCACATTAGAGTCTCTTTCACATGGTATTTTTATTCTCATGAATTTTATATCTATTTAACTTGTATACTTTTATTTCTTAAACATTGATAACTTATTTATTGAATTTACGTCGCATTAGGTACGATGCTTTCACTCTTAAACCAACTTCTCAATATTCACTTGCGTATGAAAAAGCATGTACAATATTCAACATAGCTTCCACTTTATCTGCTATCGCTGCTTATCAAAATCGGTCTGAGACTGATGGTGTTAAACGTGCATTCAATTTCTTTCAAGCTGCCGCTGGAATGTATAATTATATTAATGATAACTTTTTACATGCTCCTTCAACTGACTTAAGTCGAGATGCTGTAAAATTACTTTCGCAATTAATGTTAACGCAAGCACAAGAGACTTTTCTTGAACAGAGTTTGAGCGGAAAAAAGAAACCTGCTCTTATTTCTAAATTAGCATCTCAAACTGGATGGTCTTATGGCAATATTGTCGAAAATATGAATGATTTGGTTACAAAAAGCGTATTTGATCGAAGTTGGTTAACCGTTTGTCAAATTAAACATAAATATCACATGTCAATCGCACAGTATCAAAAAGCTTTAGCTTGTGAAGAGGAAAGCAAATATGGTGAATGTGTTGGTCGTCTTAATATTGCTGAAACTTTAGCTAAAGATGCCAATAAATCATCCAATAGTTTTGTTTCTTCTTTTTCTCCAACAAATTCACCAACCCTTCCTCCTGAGGCTGCTACTTCCTTACAAGATCTCACAAAATCAAATCTAGCTCTTATTACTGAGAAAAAAAATTCTGCAACAAAAGACAATGATATTATTTATCATGATAATGTTCCGCTAGAAAGTGTCATTACACCTATTGAAAAGTTAAACGCTGTAAAACCGATACCAATACAGGAGCTTTATAATAATCCAAACGATATTCAAAAAGTTATTGGTGCTGATATTTTTCAACGCCTTATTCCTTTATCTGTTCACGAATCTGCTTCTTTATATTCTGAAGAAAAAGCTAAAATAGTGCGCAGTGAAACTGAAAGATGTGATTTAGCGAACGGAGAATTAGAAGCTGTCTTAGATTATATGAAATTGCCAGGTTTATTAACAAAATTCAAAAGTAATAATGATGCTAGATCATTTACTGAGTTTATAACACCGACACCTGAAGTAAAACAATGGGCAAATTTAATTAAAGAGGAAGAAGAACGAAAAGGAACTTTTAAAGATTTATTAATGACTTTACAGGGATTGAGAGGGCAATCAAAAGATCTAATGGATGACATTGCTCTAGTTTTAGAGGGTGAACAACGAGATTTTGACTCAATGCGGGTAAGAAATATATATATATATACATATTTTGATTTATGTATGCATTAATTTAGATGAAATCATTACTTAACTCGGATAATAGTTAAAGTATGGTGATTCATGGACTCAGCCACCGTCTGCATCACTTACTACTGTTTTTCGTCAAGACTTACTTAGTCACCGTGATAGATTTGAACAAGCCGGAAATTCAGATAGACACTTGTTTCAAAGATACGAACAGTCAATATCTGATATAACAATTTTGAGCAATGGTGAAAATAGTGATGAGTTAGAAAGAATGTTTGTCGAGGCATTGGCCTCTTTTGGTACCAAATCATCAAGTAATGGTGAGAATTTATTGGACGTGGATGTTTCACAAACTGTAGAAGATATTCCAACCAAGGTTAATCAAGTTGAAGAATGTTTAAGTAATCTATATAAAGTTAAAAAGGAAAGGATGGATACATTAAATGATTTGAAAGAAAAGGTATCATTTTCTATAATTTTAATGTCTTAATTTATTTCAGTGGTTGACTAATATATATCTATTTTTTAAACAGACACATCAGGATGATATATCTCACCTTCTAATTTTAAATAAAAAGACGCAAAATATTGAACCGCAATTGTTTGCTACAGAGCTTGAAAAGTTTTCACCATATCGAAATCGAATAACATCTAGCATTCATCATCAACAAGCATTGTTAGAGGAATTAACAGTTTTTTACAAAAATTTAGTAGGAGGGGAAGAAGCTCGATCATTACAGGAACGATGGGATCAAGCAGACCGAAAAAAAAAAGAGATTTGCGAACGATTGAAAAAAGCAAAGGACAGTTATTTGGAAGTCAAAGATGGATTGAGGTATCATAAAACAGCACTAATTATTTTATAAGATTTTTATATTCGTTTTTAACGAAGTACAAATATTCTTTTAACACTATAGGAAAGGGATTCAATTTTATGTTGACCTTAATGACTTAATTGAAAACCTTTCAAAAACAGTACATCAATTCGCAAAAACTCGCCAGCAAGAACGGGAAGACTTGATACGATCGATTCAAATTCAAGAAGAGCAACGAATAAAAAGCCAAATGAACAAATTTAATGTGGCCAATGTAACGATACCTCATACAGGAAGTACTCCCTATGATACTGCGGTGCATTTATCCGAAGAATTAAACAAATTATCACTCAATTCTGGAGTTCCTAGTACAAGTATTTATACAGCTAATAATATCAGTCAAGAAGTGAGCATAGCAAATGCTCCAACCAACGATTCAACGTTCTATGACAACACCACATCCCCCACCGTCCAATCATTTACGTTACCACCAATTCATCAAGATTCATATCCTACACCTTCAGCACCATCACACATTAGTCCTTCAGCACCATCACACGTTAGCCCTTCAGCACCATCACATGTTAGCCTTTCAGCACCACCACATGTTAGCCCTTCAGCACCACCACATATTAGCCCTTCAGCACCATCATATGTTAGCCCTTCAGCACCACCTCCATTGGCTGTACCCAATTCACCAACATCACATAATCCATACTATTCACAAGCTCCTCAACGAATTGTTACTCAATCATCTATCGGATATTCAATGCAAGCAGCATCACCAAAGACACATGGCCCACCCGTTCCTCCTTTACCTACAGAATATCAACAAAATAGTATTCATATTCCTTTTCAATCAGATATTCAACGTTCGTATCAATCGATTATTCATTCTGTAAATGCGCAACCTCAACAACCTCAACAACCACCACTGAATGCGGCTCCACAACCTTTATCTCGGCCATATAATGTTCAATATCAATATCCACAACAAACAAATATACAACAGCAACAGCCACAGCCACAAACTTCACAGATGAATAGCCAGTCAGTGACACCACAACAACAACCTATTTCAGGACCATCTAGTATATATGGAGCTTCATTACCATCTCAGCCTAACTACTCACCAACAAATTACCGTTTTTCTCAACAGCAGCCACCTCAACAATTGCCCCAATTGTCAGCACAACACCGTCAATCGACCTATGACAGTTTTACATCGCCTTTACAAGGTGGCTACGTTCAACCACCTTCTGGGTTACATCAATCTCAAGTTCCTCCTGCACTGCAGCAATTTTCATCATCTGTTCCTGTGGTTCAGCAACAACATACTGGACAGACTATTCAGAGACCACAATTTAGTCAGCCTTCTCAAGTGTTGCCAACACAACAGCCGCAAAGTTTTTATCAAACAAATCCAATCCCATCACAAGTTCAGCAACCTGTAGTAGGATATTATCAGAATTCTGCACCACAAGTTCCCATGCAACAGGGAAATTATCCTCCAACAACTGGTCTTCAACAGTCTAATCATAGTTACCAACAAGCACCTTATCATGCCCAATATCGGCCTCCAACAGCGCCACCACCTCCAAGAACTGATGGCCCTTCATTGTTAGATTAATTGGTTTTGTTTTTTATTTAATGATCATTCCGGATTACTTTATCAATATCAGCCTTAAAATCAACAAAAAAATTTATTTATTTATTATAACGATTTGATATTCTTATAGTGCTGCAGCGTAGGTTGGGCCTTATATGAAAATCCTGTAAAGTTTTTGTGTAACATATACTGTATGTAAATCACAATAAATATACGCTACGTATAATTAGAATTTAGCAATATCTTTATTATCGTTATTTTTAATTTAATGAAAATAATTCTTTGGATAAAATTAGATAATAATCGATTAAAATCTAAGGATTTTAAACGATTCTTATCACCATTGCTAATTAAAATCGGATTGTTATCGATTATATATAAATAAATCATTGCTATCGATTATAATCAATTGATATATATATGTTGTGCTCCAAATTGATTTTTGCCTCAGGCGATAACTGAGACATCTCAGGTTATCAGAAAATTTTAAAATTAGATTATAATCAATTAACATTTAAGGATTTTAAATGATTCTCATTATTACTACCAATTAAAATTGATTGGATTTTTATTGATTAAAATTGAAATAAATTATTGCTATTTGATTTAGGAATGGCAAAAGTATGTTTTTTATTTTTTTATATTTTAAACTATTTGTTGCTTTTTATTAAATAAAAAAAATTTATATTTTATAAATATAATTGTATATAAAAATTTTTAAATATATAATATAATAATTAATTACCAATCAAAAAAAAAAAACTCTTTCTGTAAATCCTTTTTACACAAAAATAATTAAAAATCCGTCAGTACTAAAATCGTCAATACCTGGTTATTTTATTAAGATAACCAACTTTGGTGTCTTAAGTAAACTTGCTCAGCTCCTAATTTTACATATATTCTGAAGTTTCATGTCTATAACTTTCGAACTCGCAGTTTAACACTGCCAAAATGGCCTTTGGTCTTCACTACTAAACTTTTAACTATTTCTCATAAAGTATTCTATTAACCTATTCTACAGTCATAAGAAAAGTTGTAAAGCATTTCTTTCCAATCAAAACAAGTCTAAAAAGAAGCTTGTAGCCTTAAAATTGACGGAATTATAATAGAAAACGATTTTAACTCCTCTATAATTTCTTTTTCTTTTTTTTTAATTCTTTTGTCCTTATCCTCAAATTTTTTCTCTAAAACGTTTTTTATATAACCTTAAATCATTTCTAAAATTGGTTTCATTTAATTTTATATTGTATAAATTAAATTTATCCAAAAAAGAAATTTATTTTTACAATTTATCTTGTACTAACTTGCTAAAAATAAATTTTGTACTCAATTACACAATAGTTACTATAATATTCAACTATTTATAAATTTGTACTACATTAGTCACACTAGCCACATTAGTCACACCAGCCACAAACTTGTGTTACCTAGGTTACATAAGGTTACACAAGCCGCAGCAGCCACAGTAGACACAGTAAAACCCCTGCAAATACAAACTATACTCTGCATTAATCTTATATTATAATTAAATTTCTAAAAAATTTTTAATTAAAGATTACAAAAATTTTTACTAAGCAACTTAAACTCAGACTTCTAAATAAACTTATAGTACTATGTCTACTCTTAATACAGAAATACCAGATACCTTAGATTTTGATTATTTCTTTAATAATCATGCAAGCTCTTATGGTATCACCATCTATGAAAATGAACTTGTATAAATAAGAGCTATTCCGAACAAATACAGACCTATCAAATATATTATCATAGAACTTAGTTCTCATCCATCAACTCATTTCTTTCCTACTCCTGCAACAACTGCAATAATCAAATACATGTGTGGATTATTTCACACTAAATTTATTGCAGAAAACAATAAAACTTATAAACTTATTAGCAAAATTGATAAAATAACAACCAACAAATAAGTCAAAAAGCTCCAAGAAACACTTGCAAAATCTAAATCTCAAGTTTCACCATCTTCTACAACTACTATTCATATACATACTTGCCTCAAATGCCAAACTCCCATTAACTATAAAGTGACCAATAACAACCACGCATTACAAAATGAATTTACTTTTTATCAAAACACAGCATATCATAATAATTACTTAGCTGAAATTTATAAAGAAATGACCTTAGCTAATCAACCCAAACCTCAACCTATTGAAAATTCTGAACAAGATCTATCTTTATAATATAAACTTCTAATTCAACAGCTTGTTACTTCTTTACTCGATCAAAATCCGAACAACCCTCTTGTTTCAGAACTTGTATCTATTCCACCTAACCTTGAAGAAACAATTTCTACTAACAATGATATAGATATTGACAGCTCTATTACATCACTTCAACCATAACAACAACCACAAATCCAACAAACACAACAATCACAACAACAACAACCTGTACATCAAGCTCTACCAATCTCACACAAACAACAGTCTAACAAAAAACCACTCTAACAACCTCAATTGGCTCAATCTTATAGCCATGTAATAAGACCCAAACTCAACCCATTATATAACTTTTTGGCAAACTTTCCAGTTACTGATGAAATGCAAAACTATACAAAATTACAAACAAAAATGTTTTGAAAATTTTTTAATTTTCTTAAAGAACATCTTCATAACTTTTATCTTGACAAAGTCAATAAAGAAGCAGTTGGAAAACGAGATCCACTTAAAGCAAGCTTTTATCTATTAATTAGACAAATGGCTGGTGCTAGACCTTAATTTTTTACTGACTTAATCCAACAATATAACTCTGATAATGATAAAGCTGCTACAATACCATTTAACATTCTTGAAAAAATACTTAAAAAACTTATTTTTACATTTACAACAGTCCTTTTTACTAAACTCAACTATCCAGAAATATTCACTTTTTTAGCTACCATCCCACCTATCCAAACCCATAACTGACTACAATTTTGTATTAATCTTGCCCGACTTCACTTATATCTCTCTGATAACTATCAAGCAATTAATTACACTAAATTCACAAAAGATATCAAACTAAGACCAAAAGATTTAACATAACATCTGAGGTTACTGAAGTTAATAAACAACATCAGTTTCTCTTTATTAAAATGGATAACTGTTTTAATATTAAACTTAACTTCAACCTTCCTAAAATCTTATTTCTTAAAAAATACAACATATTATCTTTAAAAAATTCAGTTAACCATTTCAACGAATGGTTCGAAACAATTTTTTCTATATACAGTCACCAATTTTCTAATACTATCAACAAAACCAAAGTCCAAAACTATCTTAAATATGAATTTAGACAATATTTTATTTCACATCTTAAAAAGCTTTTACCTATCACTATTGAGTTCAAAAAACCAACTAGTCTTTATGAAAGACATAATGAAACCTTCAGACATGCCAACCATTACATACTTACTTGCAAAGACTCCAAATGTTCTTATCTGAAGCTGGTCACAACTAAAGATAAGGAAAAAGAAGATGATAAAGAAAAAGAATCAGAAACTGAAAATAAATCTAACAAAACTCAAAAAACAAATTCTAAGCCACAACTTATACACAACTCAACCAAACTTATTAGAAATATATTCGACGTATCATACAATACCTATCCAAAAGAAATTAAAGCCTGGAATAAACTCTTTCTTGATGCTATAATATTTTATATCAAAGGAAAACATGAAGCTATATTCATTAAACAAATTCCTACTACAGTTTTAGATGAATTGGTAGCAAAAGCAGAAGAGTATACTTGTTCTGCTAATTCTGTCAGAACTAATCCAAAACAACAAGCCTTTTACTTTTACCAATACCTAACTATTTATCAAAATACCACTGCAGAAAACCATAACATTGATAAAATGGACAAACAACAGGCTATTAATTTTCTTACACCTAAACTTATTGACACTGACTTTCTTGCACATGTCATTATATATTTTGATTGCACTCGCAATGAATCTCCTAACTATTCTGCAATAACAAAATTCTACAAAAAAAAAGCATTGCCAGAAGCTGAAACAATTTTACATGAAAAATTTAACATCAAATTTGAAATACCCACATCTATCGCAGAGGCACTCTTTTTAGAACAAGAAGAACAGGCTCTTTTTCAATAAATTTGTCTTCTACAAAACTTATAGATGCAGCTGCCATCCTATTAAATAACACACCCATAGTAGTTAATAGGAAAAATGATGTAAGTAGGCAGATGGTAAAGCCTATTTACATAGAAGGCCAAGATTATGATAGTCAGACCCAATGTATAGAGCAGACTTTGGTACCTTGCACAGCAGTTAGAGCCGAGCATATGGTGATCAATCCTGTAGAAAACAATCTCAGAAGATCATTATCAACATCTTTAAGCTTCTATAATCTTCATACATGTTTCAACAAATTCCTTCTTTATTACAACTTACCATTTCTTTCTCATGGTCAAATGATTCAATCTCTTATACAACATATTGACAAATATAATCATAATAACACTGTCTCTAGTATTACTTTCTCTGTTAGCAATACTTATGATGTAACCTACATATATTTTCCAAATGACTCTCTTTTACCTAATTATACTATTATTTATTCTTATCTTCTTCCTATCTTTTACAAACTTCCTCTTAGATCAAATTCTTCTAATTCTACCTCCATCCTACCTGATTTATTACTAAACAGTCATACTACACCATAAGTACCCACATCTACACAAACTTTACATGACCTTCACTTAAACATTTGTACACACAATGTCAAAGGTTACAATACAGTAACTAAAAGAGAAGCTTGGCAAAATTATTGTCTTCATAATAATATCCATATCTCTTGTATTACTGAAACCAAAACCACTAACAATACTAATCTTCAATTTTACAATAACAACTTATTCACCTACTTCTAGGCCAATTCAGAAAGTTTAGCAGAAGGTACTGCCATTATGATCAAAAAAGACTTACAACCATATATACACAACTGTCAAACACATCCTGGTAGAGTGATTGCTTTAAATCTATTTTTCAAAAGTGAAAT